AATCTGTTATAGAATGTCCAGGGTGATTGAAGTGTTCACCCACTGGCTTTTGTATGTTACCATTCCTGATGTCCGATTTGAGACCATTTATTCTTTTACATAGGGACTGTCCGGTTTGGCCAATGTACATGGCAAGGGGGCATTGCTGGCACATGATGGCATATATAACATTAGTAGACATGCAGGTGAATGAGCCCTTGATGGTGTGGCTGATGTGGTTGGGTCCTCCGATGGTGTCGCTAGAGTAGATATGAGGACACAGTAGGCAATGAGGTTTGCTACAGGGATTGGTTCCTGGGTTGGTGTTTCTGTGGTGTGGTGTGTAGTTGCTGGTGAGTATTTGCTTCAGGTAGGGGGGTTGTCTGTAAGCAAGGACTGGCCTGCCTCCCAAGGTCTGGGAGAGTGAAGGATTGTTTTCCAGGATAGGTTGTAGATCACTGATTATGTGCTGGAGAGGTTTTAGCTGGGGGCTGTACGTGATGGCCAGCGGTGTTCTGTTATTTTTATAGCACTTAAGTCTGTGCTAGGCAATTTGCTTTCTCCCCACCTCAGAAGGTTTAATCCTGCACACACCTACTATACACATAGCACCTATTATGGTAGTATTCCCTCTTCAATTTCACTACTTACAAAAATACACAGTACACCTGGAATAGCAGGGAGGGATGAGGTGATCCTGATTGCTTACAACTCTATATCCCCTTTAGTAATGGATTAGAACCACTAACGTTTAGTCAAAATCTCCTTTCATAAACATTTAAAAATAATATGGGATTTAGGACTACTTTGTCAGTGAGCCACTGGTTTGTGGGTGTGCAAAATTTGTGCGAGCATCCATTTTCACCCCTTGAAACCTGCACATGTATATGCAAATTGTGCCTCTAGCTATGCTATTTGATTTCCTCATACATATGCAGGTTATACATAAAATAAGAACTAGAGATAGAAACATGTCTGCACATGCATAATACAGTTCTAACGACTACTAAACCCTTAAGGGCCTATCAGGAGATAGCAAAAGTACTTCCTGCATTTTGCTCAAAGAAATGAACAGTTTACATCCTCTCAGTGTTATGATCTTCAAATCTTTTACGGTGGCTTTCCTATTTCCAATTCAGCCACATTTATATTTGATGGCGGGAAAAGGTCAAATCAGAGACGCTCTTGATCATCCAGTGTTCTGAACACTGTGGCTGATACTGCCGTTATTTCATCCAAAACAGGTGCAAGATAATACCTTCCTGATGCATGATAATAAAATACTGCATTCTACAATGTATTCAAACTATATGTTTTTTATTTGTTGTAATTACGTCTCAGAAGTTCAAGGATATGTAAGTCTTCAACAGTCTTCTTTATAACTTGGGTAAAATTATTGTCTCCCATACCCCTCCATCCTCACCTCTCAGTTCTGAATGGAGCTGGAATGAGCATGACTGTTTTTATTTAGGATCTTCTAGCACTGTATCTTTCTAAAACATCTTTAGTCTTGCACGGACACCATCAACAGTGTCCACACAGCTCCAAAAAACATGTTTATTGTGGCAAAGGATCGTATAGATAAATATAGAACCTGGAGACAAGTTAGCAAGCTTTTCTTAGAGCATCATGATGGAGCTGTCATTTTCTAAAAGATCCTGATCCCACTGAAGAAAGAAATAATTATCAAATTTTATAAGTTAATAAAAAATAAAAAAGGCTATTAGTTAGGACGAGAGCTGGTTGACAAATTTGCATTGGAGCAGTTTTTTTTTTCTGCAAATGACGTTCAGTTAAAATTAAAATACCAGTACTTAAAGGGAACATGTCATTTTGATGATATTTTCTATGGGAAAACTTCAAAACAATTCAAACTGTGGTGTTTTGTCTTGCCTTTCATTTTTGTCATTTTAATTTCAGTGTTAATCAATTTTAACATTGCATTATAATTATAACATTTTATATTATATAATGTTTAGACATTATCAAACCAAAATGTTTTGATAAGGTTGTTGCAGTTTTTCCAAAAGAAAATATTTTTGGAATTTTCATTCCACAATAAATTTTGACTTTTCATCCCAATTTGAAATTCCATTTGCTGACTAGCTCTACTCAAAACATTGCTTAACTGAAAAAGCCCCTCTATGCTCTCCCAGTATGTCCCTCGGTCTGCGACGCTTCCAGCAGCTCCCATTGGCCTGGAGCAGTGAACCACGGCCAGTGGGAGCCGCGATCGGCCGAACCTGTGGACGCAGCAGGTAAACAAACCGGCCCGGCCTGCGAGGGGCTTTCCCTATACAAGCGGCATCCCAAGTTTGGGAAACACTGCTCTAGGTATTCCTGTTGGAGCAGTACACCTCTCTCCCCACATATACACAATACAAACAAAGCCACAATAGAGCCCTAAGGTCCAAGCTGGTTTACTCTCCCCTTCCAAAAAGGAACCCAGTTAAAATTTTAAAGTAGGTCAAAATTTGGGCTAAGCTCTCCACTCCCTCGCCCCCGCCATTTAAAATTTTCTAACTCTACCTGATTAGCCATTTATAGTTCAGTGTTTCTACATTCTCAATTGCATTAAGAGACCATTCACATTTGCTGATTTCTCTACTTTCCTGGTCGGCTGCCTGAGAACTTTTCCACTTCTTTCCAAAAGGTACAAACGTAGTTTGCTTTTTTGAAGGACGCCCATTGCTTGTGGAATATATTTGACTTGGAAGCAGTCCCATTTCATCTTACTATGCTTTCAGATGTTAGCTCTTCTCGGTCACAAATCTTAATTCCTATTTTATTGTTTTAAAGAAATCTACTAAAATTATGGATCATATATAAATCTGAAAACAGTAATTATAAATATTCCAAAAACTTTGAACTAATTCTCTACATTATTAAAATACAGACTTTTTTGAATGACTTGGAACAGTTCCTCCCCATTGTATGGGCTATTGAAGAATGCATTTTACAGTATATAAATTGTATGTAGAGCTCATTAATATTTGGAATTCATTTTCTACCCACCCCCCCTCGCAGCAAACATTTGACCTCTGGACTTTACAAATTAAGAACACATATTAGGCCTGCCATGCTAATCCATTTCATTTTAAATTCAAATAAAAAATTTCTAGTGTCTTTACAGTCACCGGCAAAACATCTCAAAGTTACGCAACATAATAGGCTCTAAAGCCACAAGGGACCATTTTACACAAGGAGGAAATAATTTGTTACATAAATAAGACTTAAACACCTCAATATCAATCATTCTCTTTTCAAGACTTCATCCTTGGAAAAACTGCTATACATCTGTACACAGATTTGCATCATACCTAGAGAAGTGTAAAAAAATAAAAATCCCCAACATAAATCTAGAGGACTTCCATCATACAGGAAAGCAGAGCTGAATTAGGCTTTATCCTCATTTTAAGATTCCATATTACGAGGCTGTTGTACTGTATCCTGACTTCTACACAACATTCAATACTGAGTTCTGCCCATTCTCCTCTCCTAAATGCTCTGTTCATCTCCTTTTCCAACTGCAAAGGCTGCTATAAGCTGCGCCAGCCACCAATCGCCCCCAGGAGCTGCTACCACAGCTAGGGATAGCCAGAGTGGAGAGGGAAACACCAGACAAGTCCAGCAGGTTGATAGCAGAAATGCTACAGAAGCTGTAGCCCACCAGAGGATTCACCTAGGCAGGGAAGGCTGGATCAGACAGACAGTTTTAGAATGGCTTTGCACTGCTGATTCAGGGACATTCATATATTTTATTTCTTTAATTTCTGTATTTTTGGAGAAACAAGAATAAAGTGAAATTGCCCAGAACTAGAAATATCAGCATCTGAACCTAGTCTGGTTTCAAGTAAGCTTTGACGTGCAGGCCTCACTGAGACAAACATAGGGGGAACAAGTATGTTGCTGCTGTTTGACTGGAGAGTTTTTCCTGCAAGCTGTCAAGTCAGCCCCTTTTCCCCAGAAATGGAGAGCCACAGGTGTATTGCTGGGATTATCTCAGGGTAAGCGCAAGGGTTCTCAACCAGCCAGCCAGTTGAAATTGAAGGAGCAAAGAAACAGAGCATAGAAAGGCAAACTTTGACAAGGTAGCACAGGATCGCAGGTCTACCCAAGAAATTAGGCCTCAAAGGTGGGCATGGCCACAGGTAGCTTGATGGTAAGTGCATTCTCAACTATATTTTAAGCTTTGAGATTCTGGCATGAACTAATGAAGTTCTGTCTTTGGGGAGTGACAGGAACATAGAGTTAATATTAAATCAGAAGAGGGGAGCTGAATTGTTAAAATGATTAATATCCACTGAAGTCAGTGTATATTAAAATCAGAGCTAGTCAAGGTAAGCTTTTAAAAAAAATTATTTTTTTTTAAAAGGAAAAAGGTTCTTTTACTCAAAAAAAAATCAGTTTTTCTATAGAAAAAGCAAAAGGGATATGAAAAAGGGAAGGGACGACAAAACAAAAACAACAAACCAGAAAACCAAAAAGTCCTTGAAAAGTCCTTTTTATTGAAAGACAGGAAATTTTGACCAGAACGCAAACTTTGGTAAAAAGCCATTTTTCATCACAAGTAGGTTTGAAGACAAAATTTCAAACTAGTTCTAATTAGAATAGGCTGATGAGATTGGTACCTGAGGGGCATAGCACAGTTATCCTTTACTAGGTTTAATATGAGGTTGGCAAAGGGTAATGGATCATGGGGGAAATTACTAGATCACAAAATTATATTTTAAGCTGAGATATTAAAATAGCTTGCAGTTTTATTTTGCCTGCAGGCAAAATTATCACACTCGTTTTTGGTTTTAGAACATAAACAGCAGATATTGAAATATAATACACAGAGTATCACAAGCTATCTCTTGAGACAGCCCTCTAAAACAGTTTGTGGATATTACAGACCCATACTATTCTTCCCTGAGATTTTCCCATCGATTAATGTAAATCTGGCATGAAGAGACACATTCTTCAAACACACCATTCACACCAAGCTATGGAATCAATTACACGTGCAGGAACAGTACCTCCTCTCTGGCTTGGTTCTGTGCCTTTGAGAATGCCGGCTGCCTCTCAACGTTCCTCTGTTCAGATGGCTGTCATTGCGGCCCGTGGAGGAAACTGAAGCCCAAAGACCTCTCTGAAGCTGCTCCTCGTTTCTGTGAAGTGGCACGGATGTACGGATGGCAGAGATGACATGGCCGGAATAAGGGGTCAATGGATCTTCACGACGGTGGGAATGCTGGGGTGCAAGAGTTCTTTCCAAGGCTGGGTACTGTTGCCCTGGTCTAGAATAAGCCCTGTCGTGGTAATAGCTTGGGAGGCAGGGCCGGGTTTGCTCCATCACCCCACCACTGCAACTTCGAGAGCAAGCAGACCAGGGGCCCCAACTGCCCCATATGCCTGGGATTCCTGCGCTGCTGTCTTCAGAACTTTGTTCTTCTATCCTCTGGGGAACCTGAAGACACAGATGGACAGAATTAGGGTAACTAGAAATTACACTGCAATATAAAGGAAAACTCTACTTTCCTTTTAAAAGCCATTCATTCCATCCTCATGGAAATTAAACCCAAGCTGACCGGGAGCTGATTAATTTATATTTATTCGACATTTGCTTCACTCTGCTAGCACAGGAGGTAGCATCCCTCTTAGAACCATCAACCCTTCAGACTAAAAGTTGTTTTTGGACTTTCTGGACAGGGGTGGATTTCCCTTTGGCCTCCATGGTGGAAAATGCTGCTCAGTGCAAAGTTCAGAAGCCGTGGAGATGGAAAACTATTTTTTTCCTCCACATCAACAGCAAAGTCAGATGGGAGGGGAAATTAGTTAAATAAAAAATAAAAAAAACCACCCTCAAGTCACTTACCACACAATGACTGAAAGACAACATAAAAGATCAGAGTTACATTTTTGTTCTCTGTGACAGAGACTAAGATGTCTCTGCTTGTTTCTCCCCTGCTTGTGACTGAACAATAGTGATTGCAAGTGGTGGATTGAGGCTTACATGACATTTCAAACTGAACTTTTTACAGAAGCAGCAAAACCAAAGAGGACAAGAAAGCTACATTATTGAAAAAGTGCACTGCATCCTCTTTTTCTATTAATGCAATCTGCTATGGGCTGGATTGTAACCTTACAACTTCAGAAGCAGGTCAGGACCTGGATTATTAATCTACTTCTGTGTTGTTCAGAGAGAGAAATAAAATGATGCAGCTTTCACTGGAGCAGCTTACTTCCCTCAGCTGCACAGCCTATTCCCCACTCACCTACATGGCATGAGGAGCAGCAGCCAACCCACGCCTGTTCTTCCTCATGTGCAGTGTCTAGCAATGAGGATAGCCTGCACAGGGCAGTAATGGGTTTCCTAATTCCTCTGTATGGCCCAGGGTCATGACTGAGACCTTTTAGAACTGGGTTAAGTATTTCATATTTGAAATTCAAGAGTTAAGGCATTTTGATTAGACATAGTTCATGACAAGTTTATTTGCTCTTAAAGGATGAGCCTTTAGTCTTCTAATCAAGTTTCCAAGGCAAATACTCATGATTATGGATATTCAGAAGTCTTTTTTACACAAATATCTTATAATGTTTGCTGAAACTTGCTGTTTCAGGTAACATTCCTGTCAATAAATTTGTTCACTGGTCTATCCACTGAACAAGAATACAAGAACCACACACTCCAAAGAACATTTAACTTGGAATGGGAAAGATGGAATAGTCGTGAATAATTTTTTACTCCTTCATATACAAATATGCAGCCATCTCATATCTTTAAAAGATAGACACACAGATCTCTCCCTAGGTCACATTCTCTTTTCAAAGGATGGCCTTTTAATAACATAACTGCCATTAATGGTTTTGTTCCATGCATCATTATGTAGTAGGGGAGAGATTAACAACTAAATATTTGCCTCCAGTCAAAGTCTGCTTGAACTGCAAACCCCCTCAGCCAGTCAGAGCACATTACTGAACAGCTAGCTACAAACATGGGAAGGCTTTAGTGGAATGTGGTTTGCAAATATGGTTTGAATACACTACTACAAAATGAAAACCCAAGCCAGAACAGGGTTTGTGGTGGACTATGTAACTATCAGCTGTGGTCTACATAATCTGAAACATTCCCCCCCACTCCGAGGTTCCGCTCACTCTTTCATCACCAACCACATTAAAAAAAAAACCCTGCATTTAATTGTAACTAGCAAATAATAAAAAGCATCTGTATTAATGTGATGTGTTCTCAGTTTCTGCAATGTTACTTAGAAAACAGGAGCAGATGTCTCTGTATTTAATATTTCTTTTTCCATGGTAGCCCATTTGGCATCAGCCTATTAAATTCAATTGCCTGTACAACCAAATAACTACATAATGTTGAAATTATGAACAATATGCAACAAGGTATTGGTTTCTGGCAGTTATATTTGCATCTATTTCCAACAACAGAAAAGCACTGGCTTATAATATGACCAAACAACTAAGTTATTCATCAGTTTGCCGTTTCTTCACTGAACACTTACTATTTATATAGAAACACTGGGTTAACACAGCACTATCGTAAATATAAAACTGCCACATGTTAGATTAAGATAATCATCCATCATCTTTCTTGCACCCGGCCCTAGTTTGCAGTGAAATTTATTTGTCATGGAAGTAAACGTTCATTCTCATCAGAAACATCACACTTAATTTGTCTGGCTTGCTTAGTCATCATTTTTATGGTGATTCACTGCAACTTTTTGCAAAGCCACAGGCATTCATCCAGGCAATGATTAGAATCTATCAGTTTGCAAACAAGCTCAGACAACCACTTAAAAATGAACCATTTTGTTCCGTAGAAAGAGAAACAGACATAAAAGTGACAAGTGTTGACCTGCCAGAGAAAGACCCTCCCGTCTGTCAGACCTCAATATAGCAAGAATTGTTTCAGACAAAATAAAACTTTGATTAGCTAAAGGCAGTGGGAAAGTAGTTTCACTCACCTTCATGTCTAGTTTTACTGCTGAGATAGCACCGCCGGCTTTAATCTAGGTATTTAAATCAGAAGGCAATAAAACAAAAAAGTCTAGCACGTCTTATACTCTGCTATATTCATTAATGAGACTTATGCACACAGGTTGGGGAAATTCTGGGAAAAGGGGAAGTTTAGATAGCAGATCTGACAGCATATACATAGCATATTTCATCTTCAAAGCACTTTACAAACATTAACTAACTCCTCACATCAGTCCTAGCAGGTAACTGAGTGGGCATAATTCCCAGTTTGCAGACTGGGAAAACAGAGATTTTGATTTGCCCAAGGCTGCAAAGGAGTTGGAGTCTGATGGCTCATGTACATAGCACCGCAGTTTGGACTACATAGACCTCTTTAAAGTGAACTATGTTAATTCAAACTATGTACCTTTTAGGTCACACCCACAGCATCCACACGGAGAAGTTACCATACAGCACACTAGCATGTGCTGCCATTCACCCACACACACCTGCCCCCAGTTCTAAATGCAGGGCTATGTAGACGTAGCCTAAGGTGACCTATGTATTCAGAGGTCCCTGGCTCCGAATCCTGTGCTCTAACCATGTCTGTTACTCTCCCTTCAAGACTTCAGTTGTCCCTTGTGTAATCTGGATTTGCCTGAAGGAAGAACCTGACAAGAGATAGCGGGAGCCTCCTTTTCTTTATCACTATGACCTTTTGTTTGCAGTTAAAATTATCTAGAGTTCTTATAACATTTATTTCCTCCCCTGCATGTATGTCAGGGGAGAATGTGAAACACATGGTGAACATAGTACCTTTCTCCACTAACCTAAATCCATCTGTCTACAGATTCAACAAATGGAAGTCATCAATTAGGCCATTTAGTCCATTTTCCCACAGAGAAGGATTGCTTCCTACTGTATATTAACTAGTATTATCCAGTCTAATTGTAAATGCACCATTAAAAGAAGTTTTCCTTTGCTTCCCTCAGGAGATTACCCCACAGCCAGGATGTCTACACTGACTTTTTTTTTTTTTTTTTTACTGTCATACCCTTATTCCTAGTTATATCCCCTTTTAGTATTCTAAATTATTCCCTTTTCTCTCCTTGGTATGTACACTCTAAGCATGTGCCCTCTTAAGTCTTCAGGTGAAGATACTGTAATCTTGCTTCATTCGGAACTGTAATCAGGTTTATGCTTTTCTTCGAACTTTTTTTCAATTTGCTGGTAGCTTTCTAGTAATGAGGTGACAAACTGAACAGATGTTACATCTGCAGGATGGTAATTGCCATGATCTCTCCTTTTCCCTTTATTGTACATCAGTACAGTAACTCCCCACTTAACGTCCTCTCTCTTAATGTTGTTTCGATCTTACGTCCCTGCTCAATTACAGAACATGCTCCATTTAAAGTTGTGCAATGCTTCACTGTAACGTCGTTTGGCTGCCTGCTTTGTCCACAGCTGGCAGCCCCCCTATTTTTCCACAGCACCTCCCGCCCGCCGGCAGACCCTGCGGATCAGCGCCTTCCCCCCCTCCCCCCCTCCTGCCCGCGGCAATCAGCTGGCTTGCGGCGTTCAGGAGGGAGCGGGGAGGAGCAAGGACTCGGCGTGCAGGCTCCCCCTCCCTCCAGAACTCCACAAACCAGCTGATTGCCGCGGGCAGGAGAGGGAGGGGGGAGCCTGTGCACTGAGTCCTCGCTCCTCCCCCTGCCCTCTGAATGTCACAAACCAGCTGATTGCCACGGGCAGGAGGGCGGGGAGAGGAGCTAGGACGTGGCGTGCTGAGTAAAGGGGGTGGAGGGGGGAGGAGAAGAAGCGGGTTAAGGGTGCGGGCTTGGGGGGAGGGGGGATGTGGGCAGGCTGAAGGTTGAGCCCCCCGCCCCTGGTGCTTGCAGAGTAGGGGAAGCTGCTGCTGCTGCGCAACATGCTTCTCCTAGCCTACACCACCTTCAGCCTCCTTGCCTGCCTCATTGTCTCCAGTGCCAGTGGGCTGTGCCTGTGTGGGGTAAGGCAGGGGAACCTCCCAACTATAGTACTGTATGGCCAAAAAAAAAATTTCCCTGGAACCTAACCCCCCTCTCCCCCATTCTTATGGGGAAATTTGATTCGCTTAACATTGTTTCACGTAAAGTCACATTTTTCAGGAACATAACTACAACGTTAAGTGAGGAGTTACCATACTACATATGCCTTCCTCCAATCTTGTAGCTCCCCAACTGTCCATTATTTATATAAAAAAATTTCAGTGCTATAAGAAAGTAATTTGCCAACTCTCTTAATACCTTTAAGATGTATAGGAACAATCCTTCAGGAAGCCACACTGAATGCTTCCTCTCCGTCCATGTTTCCCCCACCTGGAACCAAAAGCCTTTTTGATGTGGGGTTCCAAGTTCATGTAATGCAGTTGTGGGACTACCTGAACCCTCAGAGCCAGCCTGCTTCCAGACTTGGGACCTCATGTTGCTACAATACATGCTACTCCAGGCT